CCTTGGATCCATGCCTGTCAGTGTCTACTCGTTACGAGGTACATTTAACCGGATGACACCAGCGATCAGATTGTACTATACAGGAAAGAGAGTTTCCTGGTTTTTATATTTTGATATGCCTGCGAGTTTAGCAGAATAATAATCTACCTATCTCTATGAAGTATTTGCACTTACTTATCGATGATAATTATAAATTTATTAAAATTTCTACGTATATTAAAGTCACATATTAATTGTTAATAAATTCTTTAATTAAATTCATAAGGTACTTAATATAGTAATACAAGTATGGCAATTCTATGGCATTCAATATTCATATTATGTAATATAATATACCCTAACCGCTAAAACGGTGAAATGTATGTAAGATTCATTAAAATAATGTATGAGATATTAATATTTTTATTCTCTTTAAATAATGTATTAATGTAATGCTGTATACCTACTTATAAGACCAAACCATCAAAAACAACTTTACACTTGGATGCTTTATTAAATATTAATATCTATTCATTTTTAAAATCAATATGAGAAAATTTGAAAACAAAAATGATATAAAATTTTTTTTAGGCTTTTGTTGGATCAAGCGTGGATAATGATCAATTTCATGTTTTTGAACTTACTCGGCAGTTACCAAAATTTGCAATGTATTTATTAGTTYCTTATCCAGAAAATGAAGATATTCCCAAAAGTTTTGTTAAATTTCGTTTAGTTGAAAGGGTTCAAAGGGTAAGAATATATTTATAATTTTTTTTTATAATGTGAATAATTTCAATTTATGTTCAAAAGCTGGATTTATGGCTAACTCAAAATTTTATTGTGCCCCAAAAAACTCCTGTTAAAACCAACGGTCAAGATTTTTGGAAAATAGCGATTAAGTCATTAAGAGATTCTTCTCTTACTTGTGTGATGTTTGAAAAAGAGGTGATGTTGATATATTCAGCGAACATAAGCTTCACAGCAGACATTGTACAGACGCTAGCATCATATCTTAGCCTTGATCAAATTGACGTGAGTTAAGATTAATCTTACAACAGGTGTCAGGTTGTAACAGGATTATTATTTTTTTTCAAATATAGTCTCTAGCAGAATTTCCCAAAGTTCTGGATGATTTACGAGAAAGTATACAAAGTGTTAAGACTATCCAGCAAAATGCAGTTAAATTAAATGCTTCGATAGCCGATAGTTCAGCTTTGTTGAAAAATCTCATTGTTCAAGCCGAAGACTTTCGACTTTTAGATGATATGTAAGAAAGATTATTTTTTTGTTCAATATATTACTTAAATTGTTTGAGATTTTTATTTAGTTTTCATGTGGAAAAATGTTTGAACGATATATTTCATATTGATAAACAAATGATACAAAATCATCAAGTAACATGTGAAAACCACGAACAATTGTTAGTAACACTGAAAAAAATAAACAATATTATACAGAATGCTTCACGACTTAGAGGTTAGTTTTAATTTATAAAAAAAAAATAAATACATTAATATTAGGTACCTAGTATTGTTATACATATTAAGCTTATAGTTAGGTTCTATAGATATAAAGAATAAAGATATTAGGTAGGTAAATAAATATAAATATGTGCGCCTACAGCCATACAAGAACATCTATAATTTAAATGTTTTTTTGACACTGTTTCTTGAATTTCGTTATAATTTCACCACTTTAAAAATAAAATTTACAAGAAATGAAAATACAATCAATATAAAATTATAAAATCAATATATACAATGTTAGAATTATTTATTCTTATTATTAATGTATACATTATTAGTTTATTACTTATACATCTATACCTAGTCTTTTAATATATATCTATAACCTATTATACCTATAGTTGCTAATATTTGGTAATTTATATTTACTAGTATCTATATTATAATGTTTAAATTATAAGTTATAAATACAATGTAATTTTTTTATTTTAGTAAACAATAACAGAACAGATACAATAACTTCTTATCGACAAGCAGTGGCTTCAGAAAATATGACAATTTTAAAAAAATTAATAGAAACTGGAAATAAATAATAGTGTTAATTTAATTTAAAATTATAGTCTCAAACACGGTTTAAGATATTAYATTATATCTACTAGACCGTGAGTCTCAAAAACATCTATAATATCAATAGGATATTTTTTTTATTATTGTATTTTTTATTTTTATTTTGTAATCTGTAATAAATGTATTAGAATTTAAAACTATTTTTATATAATGTTAATACAAATGCCTAAGTTGAAATAACATATATTTTAAATTTTTTGTGCCAGTTATTACAATTCTGTGTGCTGAGAAGGAAATTTTTTCTGTATGGCAAGGTATAAAGTTCTAAACGAATATAATGCCATTGCCACAATCAAAACAAAACTAGTTACAAATACAGCAGACATAACAGTGTCGCTAATAAGGTTTTTTTTCTTGCCAATCTTTTGAAACGCAGAGTTACATCCATCCCCTGACTTCCCTTTGAGACGAATCAAATCTCGCATCATTTTAATTTGTTCAATTTTCTCCTCAGCGCCTGGGAACAAAAAAATATTCCCATATTGTATAGAAGCATAATTAATAAACTAGACACCTATTTGGCCATTTAATACCTACAATATTTTATTGGTATTCAATGAGTTTCATTAATTTGATTTTTTGTTGTTAATTTAGCTGCATGTTTGTACTCCGCTGTCTATGATATGACATCATAAAGACACAAGGACAAGGGGAGTATTAATTTATAAATTAAAATTGAATAACTAATAACTTATAGGTATTCTCAACAGTTTCAACACCGAAAACTATCACAAAAGTATTATTTAGGCAAGGTATATGGTCCCCTATCTTCCTGATCAAAATGTCATATCAAGAGCCAGAACTTATTTTTGATTRGGAATATTTGATTGTATCCGTTATCCGGTTATCGTATGGCTCATCATAGTCAAATTTGTCTTATAGTGTTTAATATAATATTATAAGATTAACGATTACCTTGATTATGATATATAAATATACAGGCAATTCACCAAGCATGCTTACCCCTACATTTTTCTTTAATAATTTATTTATTCATATCATGATTTTTCAAATACGAGTATAATTGAAGATCATGTAACTGTGGTGATATAAACTTCTATTTTTAAAATAAGAAYCCTCCATTTTTAACGTAAAATATTTACCATTTTAGTTTCTGAGCGGAGCGATGAATGTATTGATTTTACCATGATGTGTATTTTTTTTTTTTGTGTCTGTCATCACGTTTTGGGACAGTAAAAATGCTTCGATTTTTGACTTCAGTACTTCATTCGATCAGAAAGTGAATCTAGTTGGTACTTTGG